GGAAATATAATAAATGAACAAAAAGGTCATGGATATGTTTATGTCAAGGTTCCAAAGCTTTCATGGCCGTTGTATTAACCCGCTGTAAAAAGATAAATAATATTTTCCATAATAGTCTTAGCACATTAATTTAGTTCAAAAAAATCATCCATAGAGTACCGCTGAAAATATTTCGAAAGTCCCCCTCCCCTGCACATTTGCAAAGAAATTCTAAATTGACTTTGTTACTCGATTAAATAATTCGTAATATAGATATATACATATAATAGAATGTCGATTATGTTGTAACTCGAGATATTAGTACCCTTACCAGGGTTGGTTTGTTTGTAAAACTGTGTATAATGATTTTTAAACCAACATTGAACAAATAATGCCCAAAACACTAATGAAACTGAGGTAAGCTTCAGTAGATTTTCAGAAAAAATGTCTGTTTCTTCCTGTCAAACAATCTATTGGAGTTTTGAAAACGACGATTTCAATGAACAATCTTTTATTTAAATTCAATGCTTCACTGTTCAATCACATTTGCGATTGATCAACGATTTTGCATGCAACATGGAATTAACATTTTGGACATATTCCAAGTCAATTGCAGGCAGCATCGATTGTTCCGGCTACTCTACTACTTTTAACTTAACACAGTCTGGTTAAAATAAAGAAAAACAGCAACATTTTTCCAATCTTGTTACATCCGATGACAAATTTCGTGACTGAGAAATAAATTCAACCCGGAAGAAATGAAAGAAAAAATGACTCTATTGATCCACCTTCTCGAAGCTGGACTTTACGTCGTAGACTTTGCGTAGATATCATGAAAAACCGTTACTTCGTACCAATTACTAGAGTAAAGTACACATAAAAAAATTCTTCAATACAAAAAAAAAACAGTTCGGGAGTGTTAAATCTGGAAATCCGCGCGGTCAATGGAAAACGTATTAGTAATGTTTTATTAAGACGAACCTCACAAGTTTAATAATCCGAAGACCAAGAATGAAATCCATGACCTACCATGCCGTTCGACGTGAGTCCTAGTCCCGCTGCACTCAAGGAACTCATGTGATGGTGGTAGGAGGCGGTTGGAGGTGGCGCTGGTGGCGGAGGGCCACTTACAAAGCCGTGAGGATGAGTGCTGTTTTGATACCAATGGCTCATGGCGTGATGGGGATGAAGGGCGGCATTCAAATGTGGATGACCGCCACCCATCGAGTTAAACTGCCCAAATCCGCCTGGAAATCAAAAAATAAATTAGTTTCATGATCGATAAAATCTCGAGCGGAAGGAAGAATCTCTTAACTAATCGGGAGGAAACTCACCTTTAGAGTCCAATGGCTTCATCATGTCACCCATCATTCCGCCTAACGACAAACAGGAAGCTCCAGACTTTTTCTTTTTACTCTTCGAGGATAACTTTCGATTTCTGGTCTGGATGCCCTCCTTTTTCATGGTGAGCGGTCGGTTTACCTGAAACAAAAAACACAATTTTTATTTGACCGAAAAAATTATATACCAAGATGAGATTAATTTTTGTCGGAATCAGGAGAACTTATTTGCCAAAAATGCATCAATGTCAAGCTTCGAAGGAGTCAACATTTGAATCCCAATCACGCAAAATATTGAGTAGAGAGCAAATGCGAGCTGATGACTCATGAATGTATATTTTCCTCTAGGGCACTTGGTATATATAGGGTGGCCCCTTCATCGGGACTGTAACTCAGATTAAATCGACTACCTATACAGAATGGCACAAAAAGTGATTGTTTATTAGGCGTATACCTTATATGTGAAAAATAAAGAAACATTTTTCCACATTACAGCGAAAGGAAATCAGTTTTTGGGTTATACCTTACTCAAGATTATTTCTGTTTCAGTTAGAGAATTTAATACTGTAATCATATGGTGTTTTTTTGGAATAATCGTAAATTTATTTACTCTTAACTCTGTATAGTTGAACTGATTTTGAAACGTGGTCCACTTAATTAGCTAAAAGTTGAGTCACCACGTAAATTCTTCTACATTTTACATATTTTTATTAGCGGTTTCTACTTGAGTACCGTTATTTCCAGGTCTGCTGCTACTAGGGCAGACCGTTTTCCCAATCAGTCAGCTTTTATCTGGTAATTTGCCATGGCATGAAACCGAACCAAAATAATCATACACCCATTATTCGAAAATGGGTACTCAGCGTACCACTCCCGCATAAATCTTGACAACCATTAAATTATACACTTGATCGTTTCGGTAGTTCTTCGGGTTGACAGATAGCAAGATTTCTTATAGGTGAGCCCGGCAGGAAACCTGCTACTTTAGAGTATTAATAATCATTTTATGATAAGTTTCTTTTCACGGCCCGGGTTCCTGATTGTTTACGATCGCTCGATGTCGAACCATTCTTTTCCTGCGTGGAACTGGTGCCTCTGTTGGACTAATTTTCATTTTGGCTTTGTTGTTTCACCGTTGAAAACCACCTGTTGAGACAATTCTACCAATTTGCGTAGCAAACAATTACTTTTAACAATGACGGCAGGTTTCCCAAACCATGTACGGGCTTGTACAAATTGTGAATGAAGGAAATTATGAAACTACTGATTACCATCAACCTTAAGACGAATTTCAGTGGGCGAAAAAAATTGAGACGCTTTATCTCAGGTAGAAGATCACATTTGTTAGGCTCGTTATAAAGGGTGCACTGACACTGATGTTTGTTTGCTACATAGACTCAATGAAATTATGGTAAATTGGTTGTTTGTCTCACAAAATGTTTTCTTTTCCGTTGCTTATATTCAAATCCACCGGGTGGAATTTGCTGGGAACATTGGAACTGCGGATATTTGGTGTGTCCATAGTTAAAACATCAGTTAATGTTTCCCCAAATTTTTTTTCTTTTGCAAAACTTTATCCAGGAAGTAACAAAGACACGCTCATGTTATACATTATATTTTTTAGCTACAAGGTAATTATACAATTTTAGCGCCTACATTGATCGACAGAGAATTTATTCAGTTATGAACAGGACGAGCATCTTTAAAATCGGTGGTTTTTATGATTCCCAAAGTCAAGTCGGGCATTTCATTCTCTTGCTAGAAAAAACGCGGTTTGGTAATTAGCCGATTTCTGAGAAACTGTAACAGATGTCGACTTCGAACATGCACTAATTGGTCGATAATCATTTTCTTTATGGCCCAAGAAAGTTTCCGAAAACCTAACTGTTTTGGAGACTTTTTGAAAAATTAAAAATTGAATCACTCGGTTTCTTCGTTCATTTTTAGCAAACAAAAAGAGTTTTGTTGAAGACCCACACTAAAATATGAAAATCTATATATTTCGCTTGCAATGTTTTTTAAAATTTCTGCTTCCAATTTGATTGCAGATTAGTTCTGCTGCGGAAAAGAAATTATACTTGCCTATTTATATTTGCAAAAATATAAGGAAAATCGTTGCAAATTAAAACTGCAAAACGTTCGCAGTCTTTGCCCGACAAACTTGGCACATTTGTGCGATATTCAACTAAACTTACACCTACATTTGAATGCCAAATGCATATTGTACATTGTTGCGCCCCCTTAATGCCCGAAATCCATAGAAAGCGTCCACATAAATAAAGATTAATCGGTTAAGACCTCGGCCAAATTCGCAGCTAAGCCCTATTTATAAAACACCGAGTTGGCAGAACGATCAAAGAAAGAATCGAAGAAGAATTACTTATCGCGATCCGGCAATCTCGGAAAGGCGTTCCATCGCAACTGACCGGAATAATGCTGAATTTGTCCGGGCTGTTTGCCGTTTCCGGGCTCACTTACTACGGGCATTGATGAGAAAAGTTCCGAACCATTGCCTTTATTTTATCGCTCAGGATTTGTCCGGATAAGACCACTCTCTAACACTCATGATTAGAAAAACGTTTCCGGCGCATCGGATTGCTGGTCCAAGACCGTTTTCCAAGAGTTTTTGTTTAATGATATTCTATGTATGGACTCCAAACAACTGTGCTTGAAGAAGCAATTAAAGCCTCAGCGCTTTGTCATTTTCCTATTGCACACTCACTTCCTTGGATTTTATATATCCATTCCATCTCACAGAGTTCTAAAAAGAAACATTGTGAAAGCAATCGAGTCGAATAATGTGCTCAAAAGCAAGTAAAACGATACTTTGAACAACAAAAGCTGTTATTTTCCACCCATGTCCTTAAAAGCCCGTACAACAAACATTATACGGTAATTGTCGTAATCTGTAGGGCCAATCTGGGCAATGAGAAAGGGCGGTGTAGGAAAAGGAACGATCTGCTCTGTAATTTAGTCACCCGCCGTCTTTGAATAGCTACCGGTACAAAAGTGCATCCCCTTGGATGACAAGAGCCCTACGGGTGTTGTTCCCGGATACAACAAGCGCTATTGATACAGTTGAATGTGTTTTTCTTATTTAAGTGAATTGATTTACGAAAACTATTTAAGTTTCTAATATTGGCAGATAATAGAGCACATCAATTTTCTGCGTATTTCCTTCAAAAAAAACCTTCTCCTCGAACACCACTGATAAACACACGGAATTCTAGTAAAACATGTCAGCATTTTCCAATTCCCGCTTTATACTTTCATGTACCTACCATGAATGCCCATTCAACGAGTTATACATGGTCTTCGTACTTCATAAATATACACCCATTCAATAGCTTCAGTTTCTTGTCCAGTTATTTATTCGGATGCTTCAGCAGTAGTCGATAAATTTCAAAGGTTGCACTTGAAGGAGTTGTTATTTTACATTTAGGTCTGGTTTTCCAATTCAGGCAACGTTTTCATCGAAATAAAGCTTAGTCAAAGGGAAGTCCGTGCAGACTACCAGGAAGAGTTAGCATATTAGATTTAAATGGCAGGAGAACGAAGCCATTATATCTTCTAATGTAGGCAAAACTAAATGTTTCACTTAGGAGTTTTGGGCATTTTTTTTATTTTGAATGGTTGTTTCTTTGTGGCAAGGTCTTCGAGTAGAACACTGTTTCATTTGAAAATAATGACTAAAAATGAAATGAGTATTAAATCTTCAACTAGTGATATCTTGAACAAATAAGACATGGACATTTGCCTCGTACTTCCCTAATAACCTTTTCAAAAGAAAAATGTGAAACAATCTGTACATAAAGAGAAAGTCTTCATTTCCAAGTCTTTAAAGTCTAAAGGGAGATAGTCATCAAATAGTTTTTAAAGTTAGGAATGTTATATAAAATGTTACATAAATGCTTCGTCAAGCGATATAATGTTTTGAAATCAAGATTGACAAATTGGCCGTTTATTGCTTTCATGAGACAAATGAAGAATGATAATCAATCACCGGCTGCCTCATTAACCAGTCTGCTTCCACAAGTCTTCAAATTAGAGTAATATTAAAAAAATAGTTTGGTTGATGTTAAGATCTTGTGAGTTAACCTGCTGCTTTGAATGCTGTATTTCCAAAACAATTGAAATTTGATGCTTGGAGTGAGAAAATCTGTAGTATACATGTGCTTAGTGAAAACGTGTCCAAAACGACTGTGTATGATTTCTTACACTCACGTTCTTCCAAACCAAATAGGCAGGATACATTTTCGGATTCGCCATTTTCTACTGAATTTAAAACCCGTGACGAAGTCCACCGACTCGTTGTTTAATGAGACAAAATACATTTATTAAACTGACACAGTATGCACTAAGCGCATTTGATGAACTTTCAAAGTAAGATAAATGTTAAAGAAACCTATTTTTGACCCAGCTGATGGAATTTAGATGAAGAAACTCATTTTTCGTCATTCAGCTCAGTAGTCCTTGCATTTACAAGTAAATAGCTTCGAGCCACACAAAATCATCCTCCTAACCATCTCAGAGCCTGTTGATTAAATTCAAAAATTTTTATACGTGTCCATTTGCAGCTAAAGTATCGTGTATAACATGAGGCACATCAGTACAAGAAACTCGAGTTCTGAAATGCGTCGGAGCGACAAAAAAAACCGCAACATCTCGATCAGTAAATCAGTCTGAATCGCGCGAGTTTTTCCAAGCACGTTTTCGACGTTCTTGAGGGTCGAATATGGGATCCGAGGATTCCTTTGGCGAGTAGTTATGTGCTTGAATTATTTAATTATCATTTTATTGTTCTTTGTGCGCTTTATGTGCATTTTATTAGCTGGGCAGTTCGGTGGGGTCCAAGTCGAGGTGAATTATGACCGTTGCGTGGAGAATATTATGACGAAATTAGCAGACTTAGTGCATGCTGTGGCTCAAATACCTTCCTAATTAAACATCAAGTAAAAATAGTAAATGCTATTTGACGATTGTTCGAATGCATTTCCTCTTGTAACTCTAATGCTATGGCATCTGGACGATGGTCGGATGGACATATCGAGGCCTCGAGCCACTCTCTGCCCAGTATATCATGCAGCAAGAGCCCACGCCCATTTCAAACAACGTCGTTACCCAACAACAATAACAATTTGT